CCAGTTCTTAGTCTGTTACATCAAATCCTAAATAATTACTTTAAATGTCTTTGTTTTACCAAAATTTGTGTTATCATTTAAAAACAAAATTGGTAATGAAGAAATATGTAATGCATTCCTTTGTGTCCTTAGGATATTTTTGAGCAATTTGAGATGATTTGAAATGCTTTAGAAATGAATGAGAATTGTACCAAAAAGTGTATATTTCACAGTATCATTAAATATATATTAAGGGACCATTATTGATGTCTCAGGGGATAATATTATAAAATTTAGACTTCAATCTTTTTAAAGAAACACTTTCAAAACTGAGTTTTCATTCTCTTTCTCAGTCATGTATAGATTACTTTCACAACTATTGCCTAACACAAAGCAGAGATTATTTATTTAATTTTGATTAAATCTAATTCTTTAACATGACTTGTAAGCCTTCATAATTTATCATATTTCCACCTATTTTCCCAGGTTTGTCTCTCATTCCCTTTCTCTTGAACCATCCTGAACTTTTCTTAGTTCTAATATGTCATGGTTGTCTGTCTCACCATCTCAGCTCTTATGTGTGATTGATCGCTCTATCTGGAACAAGAGTATATACATTCACTTATTTTCTTATTTACTTAACAACTATTATGAAGCAAATGTGTGCCTTTAAAATAGTCGTTGCAAGCATATTAAACAATTTCTCGATTTCTGACAGTTACTCTCTACATATTAGTAGCAACTCAAATTCATTTTTCATTTGACTTCTAGTTGTAGCAATAAGGGCTGCATTTCCACTTCCACAACAAATAGAGAGAGCCATCTTCATTACCCTTTGAGAGTTACAAATTGGTTCATGTCTCTTTTCAAAAGACTCAATGGTTCAAAGCAAAAATATTTTGAAATAGAAAAACTGGGAAATCCAATTATTTTGCAATCATCCAAAAACAAGGTACATATTTCTGCTGTGATCAAATCCCTCAATTCCTTTATTTTTTTTTTATGGCAAAACTAATCTGATCAGTTGTTCTCTCACTTTTCCATTTAATTTGCTATCTTATTTCTCAGTGGTAGGATTATTGACAAATTTAACTATATATATATAATATATAGATACATACATACATATATATATATAGAGTGTTATACTGAAACAGAATCTCTATATAATTGTCAATTAAGAACGTACATGTTTAAAAAAACTAGCATAAAAAACTAGCATAGCATTACCTTCTTATGTAATAAGGTAGACCCATGAAATAAAACATTGTTAGATCGTGGACTTATTTTTCCAAATAATTTTTATTTAGCCCTGAAAACATTTTAATTACAGTAAAGTATATAGGTGACAGATAATCTCTACACAATATTTCTTTACTATATGTTTCTAAAACCACAAATAGGAATAATATCAGCTCCATTTCAGAGTAAAGAAAAATTTTCATTTTAAAATATTTTACAGCTGAAACCGGTTTGGCTCAGTGGATAGAGTGTCAATCTGGAGACTGAAGGGTCCCAGGTTCGATTCTGGTCAAGGTCATGTACATTGGTTGCAGGCACATCCCCAGTGTGGGGGGAGGGTGTGCAGGAGGCAGCTGGTTAATGTTTCTCTCTCATCAATGTTTTTAGCTCTCTATCCCTCTCCCTTCCTCTCTGTAAAAAAAAAAAAAATCAATAAAATATATTTTTACAAATATTTTACAAATATTGACAACTGTACAACTACTACTTTACAAAGGTAGTGAGTTTTTAGTTCTGAATGCCACCTCTCTTTTTATTGATAGTCTTTTTTCTTTGGTTAACAACTGCATTTCAAAACACAGCTCTATTAAAAGTGTCTAACACCAAAGTTCTGTTTAGCTCTTTAAAAAAATGTTTCCATTACAAATTTTAGGCACCTTACAGAAACTGTTGATAATTTTATTGCATTCAATTATTTCTGTATTGTTGAGGAGGAAATTTAAAAAGCCATTTAAGAGAAGGAAATAGTTTGTGGGTAATTGTTTTCTTTAGAAGTGGGAAGGAGCTCTTAAGGAAATGCATATTTAGGAATCTCATTTAGTTGATGGCAAATTTGCTTCCAATCTCCATTAGTATATGTTTGAAGGAAATAGAGTTCATGGAATTATGCAGTCAGCAGATTAGTGAGCACTTGTCCTTGCCTTTGGTACAGTCCAGAGGCCTCTGCAAGTGGACTCAGAAAGTCTCAAGTTGCTACATGTTCTCCATGTCACTTAAGCCACTTAAGAAAGTCCCTCAGGCCCTTGCCAGTTTGGCTCAGTGTATAGAGCATCAGCCTGCGGACTGGGGGTCCCGGGTTCGATTCCGGTCAAGGGCATGTACCGTGGTGGTGGGCACATCCCCAGTGGAGGGTGTGCAAGAGGCAGCTGATCGATGATTCTCTCTCATCAATGTTTCTAACTCTCTATTTCTCTCTCTTCCTCTCTGTAAAAAATCAAAAATATATATATATATATTTTAAAAAGTCCCTTAGCCTTTGAACATCAGTTTTTCATTTGTAAAATGGAGATATGGTGCCTTCCTTGTAAGTTTGCTATTAGGAATGTGACACAACATATATGAAAAGGCTTTGTAAACTAGTAACTACAAAAATCAATTACAATATTTATCATGAGCTCAAAGATTCCCATAACAGTTTATACAAAAAAATAGTTGAATATATATTTTGTGTTCTTGTTTCCTTTCCACGTGCACATGTGATAAATCCTTTATTAGGTTATAAGCTCCTACCTAATTAAATAAAGACTTTTGCACAGTGAGCATACCACTTTCTCCTTCCACGTTCTCTGGATTACATGTGACTAATGGACACTCAAAAGGTTTTATTGACAGATACTCTCTTCCTCAGTTCCAATAACAAGCAAATAGTCACTACTGTCAAAAGTCTCTTTTTGCTTATTCGCAGTCTAAACCTTCCTATTGTAATCCATTCCTTTTTCCACATATTCTATCCTCTAAAGTCATGAAGAACTGACAGGTCAACACTGACTTAATAAAAGCCTGTATTATTGTTACCAAACTCTCTTCAGACACAAGACAGAATCCTTGGTTTTCTATCTAAATCTGTCTCTCTTGCAAACCCCAAAACAAACAGAATTAACTGCACCCTCGGCCCTACAGAAGGAGGAGAGTTTCCTGGCTCAGGAAAAATTCCTAGAACCAAGAAGTTCCAGAGGGAAGTCCATTCCCATCTGGGCAAGTGAAGGGAATACAGAACACCCACATAAAATGGCTAGAGGAAATACGAACAGAGACAAAAGGAAGGATAAGGCTGAAGACATCAGAAGCAAAAGAAAGTGAAAGTACAGTGTTCCCAAGGCTCTGTCTGATTTTCCTTTAAAATTAATAAAATGCTCTGGTCTACCCTGATGCTTAACAAAAAGTACTTACTAGCTAAGTGGGTAAGTTGGCATTCACTCCTAATGAAATGCCTTTCAAAGCTGCAGGGGATGGTGAGGAAAGGATGGCTACCTTTCAGTCCCCCTCCTTGGATCCTATACATGTACCTAGCCATCTGCCCTTGGCTCAAAGCAAGTCTGTATTCTTTCTGTGAGGTTTTTAATAAGCGGACCAGTCTTTGCCGATATGACGTGGCTTTCACTAAAGAGCCCTAGAAGAGCTCCCGGTAAACACGTGTGCCCGCAGCCAGCTCCGGCGGCACACCCTGCATTTCAGCACCGCCGCCTCTGGATAGCGCCCTGTTGACCGCCCGGGTCGCCTCCAACGGTCACTCATGCATCCCACAACCCACTCGTTCTCCTCTTCTCCTTTCCCTCAGTGCCAGAAAAAAAAGAAAAGAAAAGCACCCCCAACTTCTAATCCCTCGTTAAGCCTTCTTCCGCGTCCCTCCCTCAGGGTCTGAACGTGCACACCCCGCGCCTATGAGTCTGGCCTGAGCCGCAGCAAAGCCGCTTGGGCTGGAGATCTCCGACAGCCATCGATCCCCTTTCTCTCGCCCCTGCTAACCCCAAACCAGCAGCCAAGAGCGGCTCGCTCCCTCTCTCTCCAAGCCCAAAGCCTCCAAGAAACAAACGGCGTGATGGTGTTCTCTCTCTCACCCGCCCCAAATCGCGGGAGCACGCGCGCGCGTGCACACACACACACACACACACACACACACGCACACACGCACACACGCACACACACTCATATACACACACTCGCACGCCGCAAGCCTCCCAGGTGCCATCGCCGCCCTGGGAAGAACGTCAGCCAACTTGGGTCCAGATCCAGCAACACCAGCTGGGCAAGGCCTCTGGCAGCGGCCGCCCCGCCCCCACCCGGGCAGCGGGTCCCCCCAGCCAAGCCCAAGCTGGCCAGCCCCCCCCCCCCCTTTGCCCCATTCATTCAACCACTCACCTCCCTCGGGCAAAACACAGCGCACCACCCTCAAACATTTCCTCCTTGCCCCCACCCCCACCCCACCCACCACCCAAGCCCTAAACGAACCAGCTCCTGGTTGTTGCGAGTGTAATGTTTGTGTCTCGGATGCATCTACATCATTTAACTCCTTCGAGCTTTCCGCCCAGTCTAAACAAACCGCACTTTATCTCCAACCGCCCCCCCCCCCTCCTCCTCCTCCTCCTCGCTTCTCAGTGCCCCAACCTCTGCCCCCATCCCGATCCTCATAAGCCGAGGAGCCAAACCACCGCACAGCCGCACCCAAGTTCTCCAACCTCGACCTCCCATCCAGCCCAAACCAACACTCACCTTTGCGCCCTCCCCCTCCCCCACCTCCTCCTCCACACACACACACCCCACACCCGGCCCCCACCCCAAGAGCCGGATCTGGCCCGAGCAAGTGACGCCTGGAAAGCGCAGTTTGCATCCCCTCCCCGGAGCCGGGAATAGAAGGCTGACCTCCGACCAGCGGGATCCGCTAGCGGACCCCTCCGAGGGGCCATGCGCCTCCCGGTTCAGTCGCCCTGGAAAATACCGGCTCCGGACCGGAGAGAGGCGGAAGCAGCCTGGGGGGGGGGGGGGGGGGCGGGAGGACTCACCGAACATCTGAATGTGCCCTTTGGTGATGGGGTTGAAGCTGCCGCAGGCCAGCAAGATAACGTGGGTCTTGGTGGTCTCGGTCATGGTACGGGCGGGTTCCTCGAGCTGGCCCAGGGGGTCCGCTTCTCTTTTTGTGTCTCGATGTCTGCAGAGGGAGAAAGGAAGGCGAGGCTCCGGCGTTGGATGCTGTGGACTCCAAGGAGCCGCTCCAGACGCAAACCGCGTCACTCCCCGCCTCCCCTTAACACTTGCATCCCCGGCGAGATCCGAGGCTGCTTTTGTACTGCTCTGCTCGGTCCTTCCCTTTTCTTTCTAGCTCTCTGTTCGCGCCTCTCGACCTTCCTTGCTCTCGCCCCTACCCTACCTCATTCCATTCCGAATTTTTTAAATTTTTTAAGTGTCTATCAAGACAAAATGTGGTACCCACGTCCAGAAACATGAATACTTACAACAGGGTGTGAGCTCCTTCTCTTATCTCCTTCTGATTTAGTGAACTGTGTCTTTCTCTCTTCTTAAGATTTTAAGTGAGAAATGACTACTGTTCATTTCAGGAGTGTTTACTTCCGCCTTTGTTTTGCCCCTTAATGATGTGATGATTTTGAACTATTAGGACTGAGCCCAAGAAACAGGGAAGCCCCAATCCGTCCTCTCTTCCCTTTTGTGGGTTGAAGCAATGAGATCAGATTGGGAGAACGTAAATGGGGCACAATGAGCTAAAGTTGTCTTGGAAAATGTCTGTGATCTTACATAAGATGCCAAGAAATGAGGCAAAGATGTGCGCATTCAACAACTTTCTTGAGTGCTTAATGTTGTGTTTAGACTTGGTTGTAAAATCGGCTGATAAAGCCAGGTCCCCGTCTTCACCGAGTGTACATTCCACTGAAAGGAAATGGACAATACACAACAGATGAAGAAAATACCAGATGGCAGTTGTGCAATGCTCAATCCTTGAATGTAATTGACTCTCCGACTGAGAGGGGAAGAAAGGGGAGCGCTTTACATCTAGTAGTTAGAGAAGGCCCTTTGGGTGGGGAAATTTTAAACTAAAACCTAAAAGACACGGAGTTGCTAGTACCAATATTTTGGGGCAGGTAAGAGTTTATAGTGCCAGTGTGGTTAGAGTACTACCGGGTTTCCCCCTAAAATAAGACATCCTCCGAAAATAAGACCTACTTACAAGTTTCCTTCTGAGTGAAATATAAGGCATCCCCCGAAAATAAGGCCCCCCTAGGCTCTGTCTCAGAATGAAAATTAATTTCACCAGGAAATTCAGGAATTGGATTGTTATGATGATGTTCCAGAAGATGATGACATGATTGTCATTGAATAAATAAATACATTCTTGATACTGTAGGATTCACAGTTTGTCTGGTTTGTGTTGACAACTACCGTACTACCGTACCGTATACAGGTAATAAATTTCCTTTATTTTCATCTAACAATAAATGTGTACCGTATTCTTCATGGAAAAATAAGACATCCCCTGAAAATAAGACTTAGCACATCTTTGGGAGCAAAAATTAATATAAGACACTGTCTTATTTTCGGGGAAACAGGGTAGTATATGAAAAAGGGGGAAACTCTAAGAGAGATTATTGGACTTGTGAGCAGGATCCAATAAAGTAGGGCTTCTAGGTTAAAAAGGTAGGGTTTGGAATAATTTAGAGAGGAATGAAATAAGGAAACCATTGGAGACCTTCCACATGGAGGAAGCAGAATGCTTTCAGGTGCCAGCACGCTGGGCCCCAACCTCTCAGAGGACAGAATTGCCTTTGTCTATGTATCTTTATTTGGCTGTTATTCATCTACCACTTAATGTCTTTTGTAATAAGTGGGGTATCTAGTAGTGGTGGGTGGAAGGGGAGAACAACCCATTGAAGCTTTTAAGCAGAGCAGTGATTCATAATTTACACTTTTATAATGCAGTTCTGGCTGCTAGGTGGGAAATAGGAAGACAAGGAAAGCATTTAGGAAAACCTGCTGGCAGTCTAAGCAAATGGAATGGTCTTTGGACTAGGTTTATGTATCCAATAGGTGATGTTGATGGAAGCAAAGGGTCTCGGGATAAGTCTTGTAAATAAAATTTTTGAGCTTTGCAAAGAGATTGAATTTGGAAGATGAGGGAAAGAGAAATCTAGAACAATGTCTAGAAATTTGGCTAATGGAAGTGAAGGGGTAAGACAGAAAGATGGGAAAAGAAAGTGTGAAAAGCGAGCACGTGTTCTATTCTGACATAATAGATAGACCTAATAACTTCTTTTTCTAAACTAGCCTTTAAAAATTGAGATAGTGATTGACATATATCATTGTATTAGTCTCAGGTGTACATAATAAATCTGAACATAGAACTCCACAAATACAAATATTTTACCTTTCCCGGGCTTCAAGATTTTTGGGTAAATTGCTTATCCAAGAGTATATATAATAGGTGTACCATAAATACTTGTTAAATCATTCTGACTAGCAAATTAACCCTAACATGTATAAAATTTCTAGTTTAAATACAAGGGTCCTGAGAATTGGTGTACAATCAAGAAGAAGTTTGCATCTTCCCTGATATGGAATTATTGGGTCAGAAAGAGCAAGATGTGGAAGGGAGGCTGACTTGGGATGAAATAATGACACTAGCCGGGCAATTAACATGATTATAGTTAAGCAATAAATAGTTATTGAGATCTGCCATGTGTCAGGTACTTGATTTAGGGGCTTTGAACAAAATGAAGTCCCTGCTTTAGTATTACTCACATTTTAGAGGATAAAGCAGATCATAAAACAATGACTAAACCTAATGGTAATAAACGCCATAATGAGAAGGAAGCAGGTTAAGAAGAAAAGGAAAGGGAAATTCTCCTTTATTTAAGGTGATCAGGAATGGTTTCTTTGATAACAAGGTATCTGAGCAAGGGCCTGGAGGAAGTGAAGAAATGTTTCACTTGCTAATTGTATGTGTCACTTGCTAATTGTATGGCTTTGAACTAGAGCTGCTATATTACATGCCCTGTGTACTATATATACAGGTGTATAGTGTGTATCAAATAGGACCATGTGTGAGTAAATGACTTTTTTTTTTTTACACATATTGTCAGTTTTAGGCCAAACTCCACAGGTGTTATGTTCAAAATATGTATTTTTGTGTGTTTTTAGATTTTATTATTATTATTTTTAATCCTCACTCGAGGATATTTTTTTCATTGATTTTTAGAGAGAGTGGAAGAGGGAAAGACAGAAAGAAATATCAATTGTGAGAGGAACACATAGATTGGTTGCCTCCAGCATGCACTCCTCCCACCCCCATCCCCACCCCAAGCCTGGGAGGAGCCTGCAACCCTGGTACTTGCCCTTGACCAGAATCGAATCCAGGACTCTTTGGTCCGCAGGTCGACACTGTCCACTCAGCCAAACAACCATCCAGGACAATTTGGAGTTTGTTATTGATGACTTTGTCAAGGATGTTTCTGGAAGTTACAGTCTTAGAAGGCAATAAATTGGGAAACAAATAGCCAAAAAACATACTAAAAACAAATTAATTTTCAGTTAAGATTCTGAGGCTGACTTATAAGATATAGAAATAGGAATGTCACATCTCTTGCATAATACATGTACCTGAATATATAGAGTGAGCTATTCTTAGTAGGGCTTATTTTAACTTAGGTAACATAATTGGGTCCAATATTTCAACTTTCCAACAGCTGGATAATTGCTTTAGGCTGAAAAAGAACCAGAGTTGTTCTTTCATAGGCTAAATCTTGCAATCTGCTCCAGCTAGTTCAATTTCCAAATGGCTCAAGGCAGACAGTCCAACCCAGAACTTTCCTTGCTATAAATATCTGTTCTGATGAGCAGGCTTAAGTGTCAATTGGGTCTTTTGTGAAATGTGCATATGTAAAATCTAGCAGTGTGGGTACTGATGCTCACTTATCCCCCTGTTTACCTCACTTGGATTAATCATCCATTTACATTACAAATCAGGGTAAAACCATTTCATGTTTATGAAGCTGGGTTCCATTATAGGAAGAGCAAAAAGGCACACACCTAGATGTGGTTTCCTCAGTTCCTGAGATAAAGTCAGATATTAAATATTTATTTTATGTTTTCCTGGTTAAAAAAATATTAGTCTGGGAAACAACTCTGAGAAATCCCATGACTCTTTAGGATGCTCTATATTTGCATAGTTCTCTCTCTTTTGCTTTCTCTACTTCAAGACAAACGTCTTCAGGGAATAGGATATATAAAGAAAAGTTCTATCAGAAAGAATTACAATGGATAAGAAGTCAAAGTATTCCTTTAAATGACATGTGAGAATATCTCTGCCTCCTTCAAGTCACCAGAATGAAAAACATGTCTAGCTCACAGGAGTCTTCAATAAAGGATAGGGAACTTAAAAGACAAAAGTTTTGTGGGTTTTTTTTAAATTATTATTATTACATTAATACCTCACAATTTGGTCACAATTCAAAATCCTAGAATTTTAATCCCATGACTCCCTAAATCTATGAAATGTAGAAATTAACAGTGGTGCAGACTGAACTTCTCTAAAAACTTGCCAATAATAACCAATTTCAGTGGAAATGGAGGCATAAAAAAAATATGCACCAGTTGGACCTGTTAACTTCAGTCTCCACAACCCATATCCATTCTGTTGCTATATTTGAAGTGGCTGATTGACATATATCATTAGATTTTATGAGTTTCTTGTATGATTCGGGACCATTTCAGAAATCTATAGCAGACACCCTATTTAAACTAACTTAAGCAAAAAAGAACTTGTTAATCTACTAGAGGCCCGGTGGACAAAATTTGTGAACTTGGGAGGGGAGGGGTTCCTCCCCTCAGTCCGGCCTGCACCCTCTTGCACTCAGACATCCCTCTCACAGTCCAGGATCCATCGTTCCTTACCTCCTGCCAGCTCTTTACCGCTTGGCTCACTGTTCCTTAGCGCTGCCACGGAGGTGGGAGAGGCTCCTGCCACCACTGCTGCACTCGCCAGCTGTGAGCCTGGTTTCTGGCTGAGCAGAGCTCCCCCTGTGGGAGTGCTGACTACCATGGGGCAGCTCCTGCATTGAGTATCTGACCCCCAGTGGTCAGTGAGCATCATAGCGACTGGTCGTTCTGCGTTCAGTAGATTTGCATATTAGGGTTTTATTATATAGGATAATTATTGCGTGTCCCTAATATCCTTTTTCTGCCCTATCAAAAGGATTTGCCCAAGATCATTCAGTGCTACCCATGGCCCAGGCAAGATTCGAACCAGGCCTGTCAAGAATCCAAGGCCCCTTCCTATAGCAAGGCCCCACACTGCCCTTCTAAAGGAAGATT